GGGTCGCAGAAGGCTCCTTATGTATTATAACCACCTACGTACAAATTTTAAGTAGGTTTAATTACCCACAATCTTGCAGTTTTCTGCACGCCGGCCGTCGACCCAGTAGGAATTGGATGATGGCATTGAACTACAGACGGATCCTTGGAAGGCCACCGCACACAATAACCGCTTAAGTCAGTATATTAAGCAAACATGGCTTTTCAATTTAACCACGGGAATAATCGCTTGCTTACAAATTTTTAGGTAGGACGAATTCCACAATCTTCCAACTTCTGCAGTCTTTAGCCTTTATTCTAGTTAGGGTTAGTGGTACCTCACTGACTTCTCCCGAGGTTAGGGTACACTCCCCCTACATACAAGCGCTCGCTGTTGGTCCGGTGGAGGGTTACCAATGATATAAAAGCATACTTCACTGTCCCCGCCCGAGGTTTGAGTACGCGCCCCAACTTACCCTAGTTACTTTTTTTATTTTACAGGATTATTGTTAACTTATTTGCTCCCTGACATGCCCCACCCGTCCTCTCCCCTAAAATCAGCAGTCCGTAGGACTGATTTATTTTACAGTGATAAAAAATGGTATCTCCAAATACTCCGAGCAGTTGTTACAGAAGATGAGACCATAATATAAAACAAGCGTACACAACAGGATTTATTGACGTCAATAAATTTCGTGACAGCTTCTCAACTGCATCGTGTCGAGTTTGGTAACGAATAAAACATACACAGTTTGACATTTCATAGAATGACATGGCATAACAACAAGGGTCACAGTTCAGTGTAAATAATGATCAGATAAAGGACACTGAATGAAATCAGCTTATAGGAAGGAAAGGGGGTAGGGAAGTTAACCAAAATCACTTGGGGATTAAAACTAAGTGCCCAATTACCAGGGTAATTGGAGGTTGACCTCACGGTCAAGCTGCTTGCATAGGTCGGGTTTCTCCCTCCTAGGCTCCTCTTCGGAAGAGCAAGCATAGGGGTAGACTTTATTTTACAGGAATAAAAATTGTATCTCCGAATACCCGAGACGGCTGTTGCAGAAGATGAAGACATAAGTCTTGGCAGGAATAACATAGCTTACTCTTAATAAACTCAGTTACAGGCTACCAACGACGTCGAAATAAACACAGTGAATGATATTTTCGATAATTCGAATAAATAAGAAACACTAGCAACCGAAGAAAGCAAGCAAATTACATGCCTTTTTGCGGATTTATACATTCTACTGTCAGTATTGGCTTACTTTTTATAAGATGAAGGAAGAGTATTGTGATCTCAGAGGCTGTTTGGTATTATGGTGTCATAACACTGCATCCAGGTAATGTGCAATTTTGTGCTGAAGCCGGTTATTTTCTCGTTCAGTCCCCACCATT